TTTACCAGGGTTGAGACTGTCTTCAATATCAATGTTCGAAGCCCGCGTTACTTTCTTTTTTTTTATTTTAGTTTTATTAATTTTTTTTAATTAAAAAAATTTTATTTTTTTGTTTTTTTAAATTTTGTTTCTATTATATTATTCATTTGATTATCTAGAATAAGATGATGTAAAACGTACGATTTTGTACGTTACCCCCTAAAAATGGAAGGATTGGTCCCGCAATCAAATGAATAATATAATAGAAACAAAATTTAAAAAAACAAAAAAATAAAATTTTTTTTAATTAAAAAAAATTAACCAATCCCGCCATTTTTAGGGGGTCTGACTTCTGATCCAATAAAAAGAGTTCTATGAGTAGCCAGACTCTGTATTCTAGAGACACTAAGTACTACAACTGCTCACTGAGCACTCAGTGAGCTCTTATATCTAATTGGAGTATATTTTTAGATCTAATGGAATATGCCAATCAAATGCAAGAGCTCACTGAGCGCTCAATGAGCGGTTGTGGTACTGAATGCACCCATTTTATCCTTGTTAGGGAACTATATTATACAGGAATATGCATCCGCCATATTGGCTCCTAGTCAGCGTGGGAAAATTTGAGCCAAGCAAAGATGTCGTACTGCCAGTGTACTGAAAATCTATAGTATATCATAAATTTTCAGTAAACTGACAGTGTATACGAAACACGGTCGTAGAATTAAGTGCAATAAATGAAATGGGCGGTTGTAGTGCATTAAATTGTAAGAATAGGAGTGAAGCCGGGTTTCAAACGTTCCGTTTCCCAACGGAAGCAGAAAGAAGAAAAAAGTGGTTAATAAATTGTCGGCGTGACAAATGGATACCTTCCTCGAATTCAAGATTATGCGAGGTAAATACTTATATTTATCACTAAACGTTTATTTCAATTATTTAGAGCAGATGAGATATGGAAAATTGAGGTTAGAAACCTTCCCATTCATCACAAAATCTTTCAAAGACATTTTAGAATGTTTCTGAAAGAATGCAACTTTCCTGACATCTTCATAAAAACCTTTCTGAAACATTCGTGTTGTATGGGTTTGCTTTATATGAATATTAAAGAAATAAGGCATTTTTTAATGGTTTTGTTTTAATTTTGTTTTTTTTTTGCAGATTCACTTTGAAAGCTCTCAATTTGAACAAAATAGGCAAGATGGGTTGAGAAAATTAAAGCCAAATGCTGTACCAACGTTATTTGACATGTATCAAATCCACCAAAAAGAATTGAAAGCATGAAGCAAAAAAGGTTTTCTATTATTTCATCTTTTCAATTCAAGAATTACAATTACGATATATATATATATATATATATGACACACATGTCCACACATATATATATATAAAATAAACATTTCTTATGAGACATTAGATACAAGATATTTGAATTATATCCTATTCAAAAGTATATGTGTGTGTGTGTGTATGTGTGAAGAGGAAATAATTCAAATATTCTACCTAATAATGCCTCGTAAAAAATGTTTATTTTCTATTTTTTAATAGTTAAGTCGGCGGCACATGATGCTTGTTTTCTTGCTGGATTTTTAGCTAGATTAGAATCTTGTTATCGTATTGGCTGCCATACAACGCTAGTATCGTAGTCAATACAGTGGCAAGAATCTAATCTAGCTAGAAATCCAGCAAGAAAACACTCATCGTGTGCCGTAGGCTTTATATAGTATGAAATGGAATTCTAGTCATTTACAGTCCGGATCTTACCAGTAAGCAAATTGTTAGCACAATGTTGGCAACAGATTTTGGCTGTGGTCAAAGCATGCGATGCACTTGACGCTACAAACGCTTCAGAAGCATTTGACTGACCAATCAGAAGAAAGAATTTCACTATAATTTACCAATCAAAAAATTTCGAAACATTTGTTAGCAAACCGTAGCCAAAGTCTCGCTACAAATGCTTTGAAGCGTTTGGTGGACTAATCAGAAGAAAGCATTTTACAAATTGATCAATTAAAAAACGCTTCAAAGCATTTGCAGCATAGCGTTGACCGTACCCTTTATCAGTCATAAAATATTACAGACTATAAAAAATTATTTTTTATTGTTTTCATCACAAGTGCCAATTTGATACTCCAATTGATTTTGCTCTGTAAAATATGATTTATTAAATTTATTGTTTTATTTTTTAGAACTACACTTCTTGAAACGAGTAGTGCATCAAAATCACATACAATAATTGAAGTACCTGAAAAAGGAGATGTTGAAGCATTAGTTAAACCATGGATTAATTGCAATTGCAATAAGATCCAGCAAGAAAATGTGCAATTAAAGCAGGAATTAAGCAAAATCGAAGAAGTTTTAAAAAACTGTTTCTCTGAAGAACAAATTAAAGCACTACAAAGCGATACGAAAATAAAATGGAGTAATGAAGCAGTATCACGAGCTTTAAGAATTCGTTTTGCTCTTGGATTTCACGGGTATAATTATTTGAGATTAAATTGCAAATATCCGCTTCCTCATTTTTCTACTGTGATGCGAAGAATTAGCAATATCAAGATCGACTATGGAATCTTTAACGATTTCCTAGAGCCTTTGAAATGTAAAATTAGTGAATTACATCCTAGTGTTAAAGATTGTATTATTTCAATAGACGAAATAAAAATAAGTGGTAAATTAAATTAGGATAAAAATTTAAAGAAAATGTACGGTAAAATTACGTTTCTTTTAACTGGAAATGGTGAAGGTAATTATGTAACAGTTGTTTTAGTAAGAGGACTTTCTGCGACTTGGAAACAAGCTGTAGCTGCTGAAATAACAGGGTCAAACACGGAAGGCTCTGATATGCGTGCATTCGTTCTAAATGTCATAGAAAATCTCAGTAATACAGGTCTTAAGGTTAAAGGTATCGTTTCCGATATGGGTTCTAATAATCGCGCAATGTGGAGGAGTTTGGAAGTAGACGTTTCAAGAAATAATCGTGTGACATCATTTTCTTTGAACGGTCAAGTTATTCACGTTCTTGCGGATGCGCGTCATTTAGCAAAAAATTTAAAACAAGCAACACAATTACATTATGTTTTCTTGCCGGAGAATGTTAAAAAATCTCAACAATTGCCAACTAACGTCGTTGATGGAAATTATATCACTCTTTTATGGAAAACAGAAGTAGAGTCTGCAGCAGGTCTGAGATTGTTACAACATCTGAATTATATAGACATCTTTCCGAACAACTTTTCCAAAATGAATGTAGGATCTGCTATCAGATTTTTTAGTATTAAGACAGCTGCAGGCTTAGAAACAGCAGTACAATTAAAATATTTACCACCTGAAGCGTCAACTACTGTTTGGTTCATAAGACTAATTCATGAATGGATTGAAATATGCACATCACGTGTTAGGAAAACATCTATAACAAAAAGAAACAAAATAAAAAAAATTAAGTTTTTAAACGATTTCATTGATATAGTTCAAAACATGCAAATTGGAAAAGGTGGCTGGAAACCTCTCAATACAGGTTTAATATTGACTTCGATTTCAATTATAAATTTAACAGAATATATTTTCCAGCAAAATTATGATTTTCTCCTAACAAGTCGTGTCACACAGGACGCTTTAGAAAATTTATTTTCTCAGATTCGAAGAAGGGCTGGTGCTATGCCAGATGCACTGCAAGTACGCAGAGCTCTAAAAAATATTGTAATTTCGCAATATATTGGCAATGTAGATAATTCGAGTTATACCAATGACTCAGATTATATTTTACTCGATAATCTTATAGACAGTTACACTGAAAATATTGGTAATTGTTCGCAAATTAGTAATACTTCTGTAGAATCTGTAGATTTGCTCAATTCCAAGCAATATACTAATCTCGATGCAGCTGTATTATACTATATTGCTGGAAGTACCGTAAATGCAATCTTGAAACGTAAACTCTGCAACACTTGCAAACAATTTTTAACATGTCAGGATGCAATTGGAATTCCTGCTGAACTTCGTTGCTTTTCAGACTATTCAGATATGGGAGGTTTAAAATTTGTCGGTAGCACAATGTATAATTTCATAATTCATTGTGAAAAAATGTTTATGGCTCAGAAAAAGTCTATATTAGAATCCAATAAAATTGATTTAGAAGTAGTTTTAGACAGCTTAAAGACTTCAGGCCTATTGGAAACATTTCCAACTTGCTGTAATATTATTGATAATGTGCCACTTTTTTAATGTGCGATGTTATTCGATTGCTACTAATGAAAAAACCAAAGCATCCCAAAAAGTTTACGGTTCAGCATCTGCTAAAATTATATAGACTGCTTTTTAACATATTACTTTTGTAAAAACTGAAAAAGTAGCTTTATGAAATGTGATTAAAGTTATTAATTATAAGTTACAGTTACTAAGTTCCTAATTATTTATTAAGAATTAATTATTTTTAAATATTTTGTTTTACGAAGTAACTTCATTATAAGTGTGATTTTGAATTATTTAACATATTTATATAATGTCAACTTTCAGACTATAGGCCTTAGCAAAAAGCTGACTTATAATCTTAAGACAGTATCTTATGATTTAAGTCTTGTCTTTAGTAACGCACAAGAACTGTTTGAAGATTATAAGTCATCCTTTTCGCTACGGTCCTAAATCTTAATAAGAACATGAACTATATACATATATAGCTTTAATAAAATATTCGAGCTTGAAACCAAAATACGAAATGTTACTATTAAGGATATGATGTATTTTTTTGTTTAGTTTTATAAAAATATATCCTTTTAAACTACCTTCTTTTATTTTAATTCTAATCTTTGTTTATTATATATATAGTTTTAATTTCTTCTTCCTGCTGTCTTTTCAATATTTATCGTAAAATGAAATCGGCCGTTATGTGAATAATACATATGTATGCTTATTATGTTAAATGTGTATATCCGAAATTCTTTTATATATTTACAAATAAACTAGGTGCGTTTGGCATCGTAAATCGGAGGCATCCGTTTGTTCTTTCAGATACGAGTTGCTGAATGATTTCCGATGACCTCGGAAATCATTCAGCAACTCGTATCTTTCTGCTACATGTCATCTCATCTGCGTTTGAGATTAACATTTCTAGAGCTAATCGAGCTCCTCAATCCACTCTGGATTCAAAGACTGAGCTCTTAGAACTAATGCAAGATTTCACGCCTAAATTGAATATAATATTTCAAATGATAACCAATGAATGTCAAAAAGACCCTCAAATTTTGATAAAAATACACTCTATCGATGCGTTTTCGCGTAAAACTAAAGATTTGACAACAAAAAACCGTCGCTTTGCCCTGTGAATCGAAATATTAATTGTTAAAGTCAACAGCTATTCAAGTTAGGAAATCTGTCACAGCAATGGTTCACTGCTTTAAGAATACAAATTTTCTGCATTAAAAACAAATACTTTGCTAAAACAGTAAGTTTATATTTTAAAAGCAATGACTCACTGCTGTGATAGATTTCCTAATAGCTGAATAGTTGTCAACTGTAATGATTATTATATCAGTTCATAAGGCAAAGCAATGCTTTTTTTTCTTGTAAAATCTTTATTTTTATGCGAAGACGCATCTATTGAATGCATTTTTATCAAAATTTGAGGCGACCGGAATCTTCTTAACATTTACCATAACCTTATACTTTTAGGTTTATCATTGAATTGGTAGAATCGTGTATTTAACATCGCCGATTTTGAAAAATGCGCCAACTACCAGGAGCCAATATGGCGGATGCATATTCCCATTTAATATAGTATCTTATCCTTGTTGGTCACCGAATGTTGAATAAAGATAAAAGATACTCGGAATTGACAGTCAAGTTTTGGAGCGCCCCCCTGCCAGTGCGAAGTACCGTGTTCGAAAAAAAATGATGGCTAAAAGAAATGACTATCGAAATGAAAATACTTAATGGAAACATATTTTATTATATTGTTTTGAAAAGTTTCTCGAGGTAAGCTACAAGAAAATGTAATGAAAAATAATAGATGGTTCCATTTAAAAAAAAACGACGTGACATTGACCTGACCTTAATGACGACACCCAAGATCAAGTCAATGATATCTTTTATGTCCCCCTTCGAACCATACAAGTTTTGTTTGAAACATTTTTCTGTATCTACCATAGTTTTCGAGAAATCTTAACGCATTATTTAAAATGGGATCATCAAAAAATTGAGGTTTAGGCGGAAATTTTGACGCTTCGAAAAAAATTTTATCTTTAAAAATAAAATGCGCAGGCGGGTGGCTGATTTGAGAAAAAGAATGCCCCATATATATATTTTATTTTAGTTTATTATTCAGGGAATATTTTTACGTTAGTCATTAATTTTTAAGTATTTGATGTATATCTAGACTTACAAACCTAATGTAATACATTTATATAATATATAAATATACTATATAGCATGCTTTTTGAAAGAATTTTTATTTTAAAATTATGCTTTATTGTGAGATTTGTTTGGAAAGACCATTACATTACATTTTACATATATTGTTCTTTTGTTGTTTGACATTTTTTGTTAACAGCCACATGATTGCATATAAGTTTTTAATATTACATTTACTTGGTATTCATTTTGTTCTTGGAAAAGATTCTTTAATAATTATGAGAAAAAATGGGAAAGGAAAAGACTACGAAAAAGTCAAGGAACTTTTTTACGATCAGGGAAAGTCAAAGAATTTTCTCCGTCCAAATCCGTATGACACCCTATTTTTCCTGGAAAATGTATTATTGAATAGAACAAGTTCTTTACAAGTTTCCTAACCCCATAAGGGCTGCCGTAAGCGTTGAAATAAAGCATCGGTTGCTCCGGCGCCGTATAAACGCTGCCGTAAACGCTGTATTAAAACGAGTGCAATAAAGTTCGGGCTTGCTCTAGTGTTGTACCAGTATTTCGCGGTACGGGTTCGGGATCCAGCGGGGACGACAATAGGCGGTCAAAATTAAGAACACTGTGTAGATTCTATGAGTTTCTTTTAATAAAGTAGTTTATTTTACACTAATGCACTTATGTGAATTAGTTATCTTTTCACTATTTTAACCGTGAGGATTTTTACAATTACGACGAACCACTTAATATAACTAGTTAACGAACCGAGTAACGTGACGCGCTTATGACTTTTACAATTGACCGCGTTTGCTTCGCATCTTGTCCTTTTATCCCGTGCTCTCCTCGGCCGTCCTTGCCTAATCAGAGCTTCCTCGTCAGCGTTCTGATTATCGATCAAGGATGCAACGGCCGAGTTCTATTAATTGGTTTCGTAATTTCGGCCTTGCGCTTCTTATTTTCTTTTCGATATGTGTTTTAAAATATACATTAATATTTCGTAATATGTACACTTCATATGTTTTTAATATTAACATTCTGGAACTTGTGCAGTGGCACTCGTGACACTAGGTATCGATATATTACTATGAAAAATAAAAATTTCTTATCGTAGTCGAAGAACTTTCTGATATTTCAGAGTATCATTAAAAAATAAATCTCTATGTCAATGATCGCGTTAAAATCGGAGAGACGAAGATAATATGGTTTCGTTCTCACGAGAATGGACGATGGAGGGGCTCATTCTTTATTTTTAGTGTATTCATACAATCCGCATGACCCAGATTTCAACGGGTCATGGGTGCTTTGGGGCCTACCTTTTTGAGAGCGTAACGCGTCGCCGATTTGTGCGCATCTTCACGCGACTGCGGATACGGCGATGCACACGTTGTTATTTGCCCGTCTTGGGCCACGGAGAGAATGTCACTTTTTGAGCTGTTGGGGCTCGATCTCCTTGACAGGGCATACGGTTCTATTGTCAGGGTGGCTATGTGCTCGGCTGCGTGGACGGTCCTCGCGGATTTCTGCTAGGCCGTCGTGCACAAGAAGGAGCGGGTCAAGTGAGAGCGTCTGGCCCTGGAGAGGCCTCTCTGGAGTGTGACGATAACCATGTGTAAAAATGTGTATATAATATGTACATGTTTAGGATCTTGTTTAGTTTAAGGGGATGCTGGAGTGACGGTCGAAGTTAATCAAGGTCGATAATATAGATTTTCAGAAACTTACCCCTGTACGCTTACGCCCTCTGAGGCTGGAGTCCCATGAGGTGTATTTACCGCGTATCGCGTAACCGCGTAACCAATCAGAAGCGTTCCGCTGTTGTGGTTTCGCGTTTTACTGATTATTGATTGGTTACGCGGTTACGCGATACGCGGTAAATACACCTCATGGGACTCCAGCCTGAGCGTCCTACAGCGCATTAGCCTTGAAGCCAAATGCATTTCCTCATGTCGCATGCTATCGCATGTCTACCACATAGCTCGTACTCACTCTAACAAGTCTGTTCGAGTATTTGACGCGACAAACTTGAATAATATCGCGTTATAATA